GCTTGAGCCCAGGAGTTGGAGGTTGCTGTGAGTGTGATGCCATAGCACTCTACCCAGGGGGATAGCTTGAGGCTCCGTTTCAAAAAAAAAAAAAGAAAAGAGAAAAATCTTTCCCATTGAGCTGCAATGCAACCTCCCTTTCCTTAGGGACAGAGGATGGGAAAAGATAGTTTGACAGGAGTCTGGTGAGGAGAGGCTGATGAGAAGGCTACACTGATTCTCCTTTTCTTTCTAATGATTATCATCTATATTTCAGCTGAAGAAACCAAGGCTCAGAGAAGTGAAGTGACTTGCCCAAGGTCACACAGAGTGAGTTTGGAAGCCAGGGTTTGAATTCAGGTTGGGATCAGAAAAATCTGGGTTTCCCAGGCTGCCAAGTTTCCTCCCAGCTTTCAGGCTCCGGGAGAGGAGGACAGCACCTCCCAAATGCTGCTTCTGTATAACTCACGGTCTCAAGTCAATGTCAAATTCAAGTGAGATGTTTGCAAAGAACTGTTCCTTATGGAAAGACATCTGGATCCCACCATAGTCCAGCCGAAAGTTGGTGATGTTGACGCTATATGAGGAAAAGACCAGAGCCCCACAAGGGCAAGGGGACCTCAGAACAGGTAAGGTCTCATGCTGAGAAACAAGACTGGCCCATCTATAAGGAAATCCTGGTAATAGGATATAGAATGAAATCCTTTTTCAGATGCACTGAGGGCAAGAGTCAGGTGCAGGAGCCCTGGGCTGTGAACTGTCCCAGAGTGCCCCTAAAGTTGCACACAATTATGATTCATATAGTTGGGCCCTCACACACCCTTATACTGGGCCTTCCACCATCTCTTCTTTCAATCTTCCTTCCTTCCCTCTTTACAGGCCTCACACCTCCATCCTCCCAGCTCTGTCCTCTGACGCAGAGCTCTATAAAGAGTCCCAGGGCCAGGGATGGGGTTTGGGGTCTCACCTGATGTCTTGCTTCTGCTGGAGTTTTCTGCTACCAATTAGCCAACCCACCATCCCCGGGGCCACCTGCCCTGGGGCATTTAGACTGTCCAAAAGGTGGATGTTCTGGATTCGGCCTTCTACATCATACTTTATGAGGCCCTGGGCAATAACTGGAAATGGATAAAGGATCAGTGACATTGCACAGTGTCTTGGAAAAGGTGGGGGGTTAGAGTTAGGAAACCTGGATTGCAAGGTAGTACAACCTCTTCTTGCTGAGTGATTGGTGCACATGACCACTTCCCTTGCTGAGATCCATGTTCTTCACCTGAGAAATTATGCTTTGTAAGATTGATGTGAGAAATAAAGAAAAACGCCTGAAAAGGGTATTACAGGTAATAGCTGCTCAAAGGGGGATATTCTGGTTGAAAGTTCACTTAGCACTGTATCTCTGAGTCTGGAGTAAAGAGCTAATACCCAGGATATAGATCACAGTAAATGTTGGTTGCAGAGAAATATAGGCAAGTAAATATGGAAAGAATAAATGTAAAGTATTCATCCTCCCTTCCATCCTCCCATTCATCCATCCACCCATCCATCTACTCAACTTCCCCTCTGTCTGTCCCATCCACTCATGCATCCATCCATTCATTCATCCTATCCTCCCTCACCCTTTCTGAACCCCGATTGGATTTAGACACTCTCTCCAATTGCTAGTCCAGAAGAGGCTGTTGATAATCTGAACCATCATTGTATGGCTCACCCTCAGTGACTCTTTAAGGTTCAAAGTTGGCATGTGATGGCATTTGATGGCAAGTTGGTTCTATCAGACTAAACAGATCTTATGTTCTACATTCGAAGGGAAGGCTTCTTTCTCCTATCAGAAAGGAGCAATGTACTCCAATAGCTAAACCTAGACTTTGTCCTACTTATGACTTTTAGTTACATGAAATGATAACATTTTTATTGTGTTAAGTCAGGTTGAGTTGAGCTTTCTGTTACTTCCAGCAAAGCACTCTGATACTACAATTTCAATGACTTGGCCTCCCCTGAGATCAGGTCCCACACTGAGAACTCTGGGTTACTTACTCTGGAGCAGTGGTTACTGGTCATAGCATTAAACATATTCATCATGGAAGAAGCACTTCGCACATACGTCCCTTGGTTAATCTCAAAAGCAGCTTCATGAACTAATAGCCTAATTCGCATACTCGCATACAGATAAGGTTACCTTGGCCCACAACTACGCACCAATATATTTGATGATCTAAATGAAATAGATACATTTATGGCAAACCACATAAAATGCCAAGTTTTGATGAAAGAAAATGGAAAACCTCCATAATCAAAGAAATTTAAAAATTCTAAGAAATTTCTTAAATAGAAACAATGATTGAAGATCTCATTTCCTAAAAGCTTCTGACCTAGATGGTTTTATGGAAACAGTTTACTAAACTTTTATTAATATAAAAAGGAAACTGTGAAGAAAAAGAGAAAGATGTCAAATTCATTCTACAAGGCCAGTATAACTTGTCTCAGACTCAAGGACAGTATAAGAAAAGAAAGTTAGACATATTTTCTTTAAGTATAAAAAATCCTAAATAAATTATTACCCAATAAAATATGTTTGAGAAATGCTAGGATGGTTCAATGGCAGTAAATCTACTATTATAATTTATCATTTAATAGATTAGAGGACAAAGTTGATTAACCCTTAGATGCAGAAAAACATTTGTTAATGGCCAATACTGAGTTGCAATTAAGAAAATTCATGAAATTAGGAACATAAGGATCCACCTTAATCTGATAAAAGCTATATTCCAAAAACCTACAGAAAATATCATACATAGTGGAGAATTCTAGATACATTCCCTTCCTGGAGAAAGTCCTGGCTATGATAAGAAAAAGGCACAGAAAGCATAAGGCTTAGAAGAGAGGCTTGGCGCCTGTGGCTCAAGTGGCTAAGGCGCCAGCCACATACACCTAAGGTGGTGGGTTCGAATCCATTGTTCGAAACAACAATGATGGCTGCAACCAAAAAAAAAAATAGCCAGGCGTTGTGGCGGGCACCTGTGGTCCCAGCTACTCAGGAGGCTGAGGCAGGAGACTCACTT